TGTCATTTAAAAGGATTCGAAGGTTGTGAGTGGATTCGTAGATGATTATTTAAAGGGGTTGCTCGAAAATGTAATAGCTTTTAATGAGGTTATTTGTTCTTTTTTATAACATGGATACACAATTTCTAAAGAGCCTTGTAAAATTGTTTGGGTTGTCACAGACCTTTAGGGGTTACTTGCATTTGTATTTTTAATGCTCCTAAACTTTATAAATCTACGTTTTTAATGCTCCCAAAGTTATAAAAAGCTGCTTTTTCGCAAAATTGATTAAAATGCAGTCCTTCTGATCTTGTTACAAATTGATCACGTTGGGCGCCATTAGCCAAAAATCTCATAGCTGTCTACTAAAAGTTCATATTTCATGGAATATGTATAATAAAATTCAGCTTTCAAAAATGTGCTTGAAATATTATTATTTCATGAAAAATGATCCACGTTGGGCGCCATTCGAATACTTTTCTAAAATTATTGAATATTTTAATAAGAATTATTGTCCTTTGTGTTTGGCTCATTTAGCCAAAAATAACTTTGCAAAAAAATTTTTGAATGGACCCTTAGTCAGTTGCCTATCTCAACTTATATTCAGATACTAAAAGGCTTCGGAATATTGATGATAAAGTGGAGCCGTCGGTCATTCTGGTCTTTTAAAAGGCTACTTACGTTGGGCGCCATTAGTCAAACGTGCCTTATCGAACTTCTAAAACTATATGTTGATAAACTCCGAATAACATGTAGCCATAAAAAAGCGACATTTTTTCGTTGGGCGCCATTTAGTCGATACATCGATTACAAATTCACATTTATAGGAATATTGTTGGGAAAAAAATATTTGAAAATAGGAAATGTAGGCCCTTACATTGGTCGCAATTAACCAAACAATTTTTGGATAGACCCTTAGGAGGCAATAGACTGCGTATATTAGGGACGCCATTTCATATTGGGCGCCATTCAGCCAATTATCTCAACTCATATTCAGACACTGAATTTGATTTTAGGATAGCCCCCTAGGAGTCAATAACAAGGTATATTAGGGACGCCATTTTATGTTGGGCCAATTATCTCTACTCATATTCAGACACTGAAATGCTTATTTCTCAGAATATTGACGATAAAGTGCAAGCATCAGCCATTCTGGTCTAATAATAATACAAATAACTCACGTTGAGCGCCATTAGTCAAAAATCTAACACCTAGCCCCAAATTCTGTAATTAAAGAGGGGACTTGACTCAACGACATGACTTGGTATATTTTGGTCTCATAAAAAAATATTCTCGTTGGGCGCCATTTAGTCAAGACAAGACACTTATTTTCTTTAGCTTGCCTTTGTCAACACCACGTCAGTTAATGCGACTCATTTATTACAGTTCTGCATTTCAATTCGCCGTTGGCATCTTTTAATAATTCCCATGTTGGGCGGCACTTCCAAAGTCTAATATTACAAAATTTCGTTCTTGTTCGACTTTCGAATTCTCCTACGAATTGAATTCTCTTACGAAAAGCATTACACTGCAGTTTCGCTATTTTCGTATTCAGCGACTTAAAATTAAAAAAAATGTATTTATTCAACCACACGTCAATGTATATTTTATATTCTACGCCACGTTGGGCGCCATTTTATAAAACAAAAACTTAAATTTCCTATCCAAGGATTAAAAAATGCTAATTTCATGGAATATTAATGATTCATAAATGTAATCTGCCCCATATCTTACTATATTATTGCTCTACAAAAATCCTTCAATCAAGCACCTAAAAAATTACACGCCTTGGGCGCCACTTGTCCAAAAACTAACCTCATATTCATCGACTAAAAATTCACGAATGTATTCCTAAAATAGGGAAATTTACTCATCCATATTCCTTGGTATGTTATCGTCACATATTTTTTTTTTCTTTTACGTTGGGCGCCATTTTAGCAAATTTGTAATCTCCTATACAACGGCTAAAAGTTACCATTTCTTGGAATATTAATTATTATTATGTTATTGCAGCCATTAACATGCTGGAATCTATTTTGCCACAGTTCTTGCTATATTATCGCCCTATGAAAACTCCCTAACGTTGGGCGCCATCTAACCCCCAACTGAAATCTTCACCATAAGCAAATACAAATTCATATTTCTGCTTCAATAAATCACGGGTGGTGGGTGGATATATTTCCAAGAATAATATTTCTAATTATCCTCATTTAATCTCATTCATATGCATTAATTGCTCATCGTATGAAATTGTCCTTTTGGCTTCATGACAATTTCTCTGGAATTTTAATGTTTTTTATTTCTTATATCCTGACATTTGAATAAGAGCATAAATAATACATATTAAACACACACACATTCTAGCATAGATATATAGATGTAGAATATAATGATACGACATATCTTGCAAATACCACTGCAGCATAAATTCATGGAAATGTTGTCTGCTTTGATAAGCAACGCAGATTGTATAGTTGGATCCCTTTTGTGTAGACGAGGTGTGGTAAAATAATTATAGGATATAAATGAAATTGATTTACAACATTTTTTTCCTATTACAATTCAAGTTTTACATTGAGAATTACAAGTTAAATTTCTTAGAAAACAAATATACGAATTTACGGAATTTTCTAAATTGGCGCCCAATGCGATTCATCAAAAATTAAATTAAAATAAAAAAATAACGGATTTGAATTTTTCATAAAAACTCGAATATGTGTGGGTTGACTAAGGAACACAGAATTAGCGTCCAACGAGGATCTGAGAGATCAAGAAAATTGGCGCCCAAAGGGGTACCCATAAGCTAAATGTGATTTAAAGGAATAAAAATAAATTAATGGTTTTGAAACATTAATTAAAACATGATTTATGTGGATTAACAGAGGTAACAAAAATTGGCGCCCAATGAGCATAGACTCATGAAAATTCCTAAATTGGTCCAAAATGCGGTTCATAGAAAATAAAATGATTAAATAGGAATAAACTAAATTACTTGAATCATTCATTAAAACATAATAAATGTGGGTATACAAATTTGGCGCCCAACGAGGATTCTACTCTAATTGCATTTTCGTATATTGTGGGAAATTCTACATAATAAATGAATCAATAAAACTTATATTAAATGAAAATTTAAGAGGGAATTGAGGACGCTTCAAAATGGCGCCCAACGTTAGTTTAAATGATGTGCTTTGCGGAAGACTGCGGATGGCCAAGTATTTTTGTTCTCTTTTATTATTTTGGAAGACTTTGATTCATTGAACAATTATAATTCCCAATTTAGAAATTGGCTGAGTAACTCGAATTCGAATTTTGTGAGAATTTATTGTAAATAAAGAACTAAAAAAAACTTGACTTAAAAAAATAACAGGATATTGAGAATGCTTCAAAATGGCTCCCAACGTTAGTTAAAGAAATTGTCATTGCGGATTGTACTTTATTATAATTTTGAATACTTTGGATTCATTGAATAATACTTATGTCCAATTGATATATTGGCGCCCAATGCGGTGCATCATTAACTAACAGTGAGATTTTCAACTGAAAAGAAAACATTGAAAAATAGTCTATGTGAGGTATGCAAAATTGGCGCCCAACGTGTTTTTTTTTATTTCAAACGTTACGTAATCTTGTGAGGCTCTATAGTAAATCAAAGACTCGATGAAATTTAAATTTAAAACATATATAAGAAATCGTGAATGCTTCAAAATGGCGCCCAACGTTAGTTTAGTATATGTTCTTTGCTGAAGACTGAGATATGTTCATATCGAAGACTTTGAGGTCTTCATATCGAATATCTCTTCTTAGAAAATCTCGAGCTTTTCATATCGAAGACCTGTATTGGCGCACAACGAGGATTTTATTTTCGAATCTTATGAGGGTTTTTAATAAATAAAGGATTCAATATTAAATAAAAATCTAACAGGAAATTGAAAATGGCGCCCAACGTTAGCTTAAAAGATCTTTTTTTGCGAATGACCGACATTATTTCTTATTTACTGTTTCTTTGGCGCCCAAGGAAGATTTTAGTTTCGAATCTTATGAGCACTTTTTAATAAATAAAGGATTCATTATTAAATAAACATTTAACAGGTAATTGAAAATGGCGACCAACGTTTGCTTAGAAGATATTTTTTTGCGAATGACCGACATTTTCTCTCTCTTGCTATATTGAATCCTTTTGATCCATTGCATGACAATTACCCTCCCCTCCTCTGTAACATTTTGTCTTTAAATACAAAATGAAATTTATGATTGTGTACCGAGAGCAAAGTCAGGCAGGTGATTTTTTTCTCCAACATGACTTATGTGAAAACTTTTGTGTTGTGCAAACGTCATGTACTGAAATGAATTATGAATTTACGCAGATGGTGATGGGTGTGGGTGAATTAGAGATGGAAAAATACCCTTGAATAAGACCAACCAAAATGAAAACAACACTGCATACCACTAGAACATTGTGAATGGTGATCTTGATGAACCATAAAAATATAATTTGAATTCCATACCATTGCTTGACTATTAATCATTTTTGGGAGAAAAAAAAATAACAACAACAAAAAACTATCTAAAGAAGTCTGATATTTGAAAGGGGTTGCTTCTCTATTTACTTTTTTTTTGTAAATAAACAAATAGAAAAAATTCCAGCTTTTTGTGTTTTTTATGTTCATGTTTTTGAAGAATATTTTAAGGGGAGGGGTGGGGAATTGAAGAAAAAACCAACCGCTTGGCTGTCTGCAGGCACACTTTATTTATAATTACATAGTTTGTTACTCGCAATTAAACGTCCAAAATACAATTATTTTTTCAAAATTACCCTGCACTTCAACAACTTCAAATGTCAGCAGGCCGCCACAAGAGGAAACATTAATCATTTTCTCAACCAAAAAAATTGTCTAGCGAAAATTTATGACCCGGGACGTTCTTCAAACCACTATTGAGCATATTTTTAAATACTCTACTCTTTTAATTATGTTCAACATTTTAACAAATGTCTTCATTTTTTTCTATTTAATTTTTAGATTCCTTTAATCGAACCCAAAGATGAACCCACATTAATTGAAGGTCATCATCATCAGCAGCAGCAGCAGCACGCCGCCAGCTCACATCATAATCACCACAAAACATCGTCACATCATCACCATCAGCAGCAGCAGTCGACACATCAGGACCCCTATGCTGTGGAATTGTCACACTGTCATTATGGCGATAATGAGCTGGTCTTGTCGCTCGTGCTGCAAACATATAATTGGCATGACCTGAACGAAAGTCGTCGCTCTAAAGTTTTGGACAAGCTATCCAAATTCTTTGCCATACCAAAGGTAAGTCGAAAAAAACCGGACAACCCACATCACAAAATGTCCAATCACACACACACACACACACGAGTAGAATTTATTTTTTCTCATTTATTTCTTTCTTCCCTTTGCCTTGTCTCTTCCAGGAATTTATCACAATGGAAAGTGCCAGCAAACATGATCTATTCGAAATGCAAAAGGAATCTGTGAAAAAGGGAAACAATAAGTGCCATACTAATAATAATCGTAAATTGGGACGTGTTGATTTTATCGTAAGTATTTCAAACATTTTGCACAATGGTCCGTCCATCCGTCTGTCAGACACCCTCACACACATATATAGATTTTTTTGTTTGTTTGAAACTCATTGAAATATTCAGCTCTTTTGCCATTCATCTGTTCATAAGGGTAACATTGCAAAAAAAAAACACACACACCGATGGCAGGACCTGGTAAATCGTGAAGTAGAGTAAACGGAAATTCTTCAAACAGGAAGTTATTAATCAAATAAACATTTCCAGCCAGCCATTTTTGTCACCCGGCCAAAATTGTGAAAAGGAAACAGGATGTACTTGAAAAAAAAAATATTTTCTATTAAATTGAAATTTCATTAGATTATAACAAGGAAGTTCAAGGTTAACAATTCTGTGTTACTTTTAACCCTTAATTGAAAAATGAGAGAAATTTTGAAAAATCTAAGAAATGTCTTCGAAAAAATATCCTTTAAACAGTCCAAATCTCTGATTGTATCTGAAAAAATATTCTTCAAAAACCCCAAACCCAACCAGGAAAGTAGTAAAGTCGGACATCGCCGACTATATGATACCCTTCACCACTTTGGGTATATCCGAAAGATGAATCCTGACAGACGTCGAATTTTTGAAGGACCTATATATATATATCGAAATCTAAACCGATTTAAACTAAACTTGCCACACGTTATGTTACAATAACTTCAGTACGTAGTGCAAAATTTTGTGCCGATTTGACCCACCTTGATGCAAATCGAAATATATATAGGGACTTTGGTACACCATATACATTAAATCGAACGAAAATATATATATAGGAGCTATATCTAAATCTGAACCGACTTTCACGAAACTTAGCACACATCATTCTAGACTCAATTTAGTATGCTGTGTCAAATTTCGTGCAAATCGAATGATATATAGGGACTTTGGTACACCATATACCTTAAATCGGACGAAAAGATATATGGGAGCTATATTTAAATCTGGACCGATTTTCACGAAACTTAGCACACACCACTCTAGACTTAATTCCGTACGCTGTCCCAAATTTCGAGCGAATCGAAAGATATATATGGACTTTGGTACACCATTTACCTTAAATCGGACGAAAATATATATGGGAGCTATATCTAAATCTAAACCGATTTTCATGAAACTTAGCACACATCACCCTAGACTTAATTCCGTACGCTGTGCCAAATTTCATGCAAATAGAAAGATATATAAAGACTTTAGTACACCATTTACATAAAATCGGACGAAACTATATATGGCAGCTATATCTAAATCTGAACCGATTTTTCCCAATTTCAAGAGGGCTCGTCCTTGGCCCAAATAAGTGACCTATGCCAAATTTCATCCAATTTGGATCATAAATGCGACCTGTACTTTGTTTACAATTTAACATGGACAGACAGACGGACATACGAACGGACGGACATGTATAAAACGACTTAAAAACTGATTCTATGCATATACTCAAAAGGAACCATGTGTCTATCTCGTTTCCTTTTGCCTGTTACAAACATGTGCACAAAGATATAATACCCTGTACCACAGTTTGGTGAAGGGTATAAAAATCCACGCCTTTGGTAGACTTTTAAAAAATATTCTTTAAAAAATCCACGCCTTGTGTAGGCCTTTAAAAAAATATTCTTTATTCTATTTATGAAAATGTGTGTTACTCCTCTTTCAGATCGGCTGTCATTCTACCTATTTCACCATTACCGAACCTATTGTTAAACAAATTGAACAACAATTTAAAGATGGTGCTCTGGATAATATTACCGGTGAGAAATTCGGTTGGTGGGTAATCTGGCGCAAACATTATAAGAACACAGCACCTGTACGTCAACGTCGTGAAGTTGAGGGATCCGGTACCGGAGCTGGTAATTTCGATGATGACATTGATGAAGATGACGATTATGACTATGAAGATGATACAATGTAAGTTGGAAAATCACAAAAAAATATTTCAATTTTCAAAGGAATATTAAAAAATATTCCCAAATTATTATTTCAGTGACGATACCCAACTCAATGCTGTGGATAGCTCTTCAACTACCACTACAAGCCAAAATACCAACAATAACAACAAGGATGACGAAGAAGATGATGATGAGGTATGTAATAGATGTAATAAGGTTTATATAAAGTCTTCTTCTTCTTATTTCTCCAACAAAACAAAAATCGGTTGTTACAATTATGATTTATTGATTTTATTCCTTATAAAGTAAATAAATTTTGAAAAAAAAATATTATTCAAAAAATAAGAAATTAATTCAACAAAATCTAAATGTTATTGGTTTCATATATATATTTCCATATATACATATTATATATTATATATATTTATATATATAAATAACCTTTATTTGAAATTTGATTGAATTGGTTTTGAATTCCTATATAACTATTTGAGCAAAAAAACATAATTCAGTTTCCCTTTTTAACTAAACTAAAACAAATTGCACATTGTATATTTCATTTATATTTTTTATCTGTTATTAACATTTAATTTTTTTGTTGGTTAAAACAAAACACAATCTCCTAGAAAAAAATATTACCAGCAAATTCATAAAAATGGGTTTCAAAAGGGTACATTATGGTTTTTTATATAGTCTGCAACAAATGTTCCGGAAAAATATTTTTAAAAATCCCTCGCCATGTATTGGTCCCTAAAACATAATTCTAAAAATCCTCCTTAAAAATGTTTTTGAGAAATCCTCGCCTTGTATTACATCTTGAAATATATTTTAAAAAATCCACGCCTTATAGAAGGCCATAAAAAATATTTTTAAAAAACCCACCCCTTGTAAAAAATCCACGCCTTGCAGAAGGCCATGAAAAAATATTTTTAAAAAACCAACCCGTATATAAAACATTGAAGAAATATTTAAAAAAACAGTAAGGAAAGTTCAAAAATCGGACGGGCCGACTATATGATACCCTTCACCATTTTGGGTAAATACAAGAGATGTTAATATCTACAAAATGCTGTAGATAGAACAGACATAGAATCTTTGGAGGACATAGAATTTTCGCCTAATTCAGTACTCTGTGCAAAATTTTGTCTCAATCGGACAAATATTGGGAGTTTGGTGCGCAATTTACCTTAAATCGGACGAAGCTATATATGGGAGCTATATCTTAATCTGAACCGATTTTCACGAAACTTAACACACATCATTCTAGACCACACATCATTTGGTGCATCATTCACAAAAAATCGGACGAAACAATATATGAGAGCTATATCTAAATCTGAACTGATTTTAACAAAACTTCGGGACCTAATTCAGTAATCTGTGCAAAATTTTGTCTCCATCGGACAAATATTGGGAGTTTGGTGGGCAATTTACCTTAAATCGGACGAAGCTATATATGGGAGCTATATCTTAATCTGAACCGATTTTCACGAAACTTAACACACATCATTCTAGACCTTATTCATTACGCTGTGACAAATTTCGTGCAAATCGAAAGATATATAGGGTCTTTAGTGGACTATTTACCTAAATTCGGACAAAACTATATATGGGAGCTATATCTAAATCTAAACCGATTTTCACGAAACTTTGCACACGCCATTTTAGACTTAATTCAGTACGATATGTCAAATTTCGATGTCAAATCGAAAGATATATAGGGACTTTGGTACACCATTTACCTTAAATCGGACGAAAATATATATGGGAGCTATATCTAAATCTGGACCGATTTTTCCAAATTTCAATAGGGTTCGTCCTTGGGCCAAACAAATTTCATCCAATTCGGATCATAAATGCGACCTGTACTTTGTTTACAATTTAACATGGACAGACGGACATGCATAAATCGACTCAGAAAGTGATTCTATGCATATTCTCAAAAGGAACCATGGGTATATCTCGATTCCCTTTGTCTGTTACAAACATATGCACAAAGACATAATACCCTGTACCACAGTGTTGTGAAGGGTATAAAAATACACGCCTTTGATAGACCTTGTATGATAAGCACAAAGACATAATACCCTGTACCACACTTGGTGAAGGGTATAAAAATCCACGCCTTTATAGATCAGTAAAAAATTATTAATAAAAAAATCCATGCCTTCTATATGGCTTTGAAAAAATATCAAAAAAAATCCTCGAAAAACTATTTTAAAAATGTCCACGAAAATCCACAAAATATATTGTTGCAGACTATATAATGAATCAAGTTGCTGACTCCTTCCTCCCATTTTACCTATTTTGAAATGTCATTGTTATGTGAATTTGCCATCCTACCCAATATTAACGATGATAATGTCTATTAATTACCAATGTTGTTTCATTCTTGGTCTCTCTCTTTCTCTTTTTTCGTCTACTTTCTTCAATTTCTTGTTTTGTTTTTCCATTAAAAAAATAATAATTCTATATAAAAAATCTACAACAACAACAAAATGTGTAAAAAACAAATCTAACAAAAAAAAAAAATAATAAAAAACACAATATTTATTTTTTTGGTTTATATTTATTTGTATAACTTATATTTGTATAACACTTTAACATAATCACATAACTCACACATACACACATATATCATAATTTGCACCAACATTTATTTTTTATTATTATTCTACAACAACAAAATCCACACAACAAATTCTATTCACCATCCAACATCACTGGGTCTCTGTCTGAAACATCACTGTGCCAACCAACCAACCATCCAAACAATCAATCACACATGCAACCAACCATCACACCATGTAATTGTCTTTCTCTCTCTCTCTCAATTTGTCTCTTGTAATTTGTCTTGTGATATTTGTCCAATGCAAAAAATCGAAAAAAACAAAATCAAATTGAAAAAAATATCTAAAGACGGAATTAACTTCAAATACCTTGGAAGTGGCTGGCAGCAACTCCAATCGTGATGATATCACCGCTTTAAAACAAACTGACTCCGAACCTTCATCGGATTCGAATACCAATAATGATCCTAAAAAACTTAACATTGATGATGAGGGGATTGATGAAAGTGTTTCCAAATTAGAATCGGTTATAACCAAGACCATTGAGAACACACAACACATTGAAGATATTCCGGAAATTGTGGTCGAACAACCGGAAGATGTTTTATTGAAACAGGTGTTACAACCCGAGTCAGAAAAATCCGCCGATAGCATACAATTGAATAGTATCTATGAAAATCCCAAGGAGGATGAATTTAATGTGGCCGAAGTTATGGGTTCCATATCACCTCAAACCCCCTCCACCAATTTAGATGGAAATGTGGTGGAAGAAAGTATCACCACCACATTGCCCAGCCATCATAAACCCGCATCACCCACCTCAATGTCGACCAACCACAATCATGACAATCATGCTGAAAATAATTTAGACATAACAAATCATCGCCATCATCATGCTGAACATCATAATCATCATGGTGGTGGTGCTGAACTCACCTCTACCACATCTCTAACCACCACACTAATGACACCACCGCCACCCGTAATTTTAATCGATTCAACAACCCAGACAATCACAATAGCCTCTAATGATATACCACCAGCAACTGACACTTCATCGTCCTCCTCCGCCGCATCATCATCGTCGGCTACAACAACCAACACCTCGAGTACAACAACAAACCCCTCACCAATAACAACAGCCATAATAAACAAACAGCCGAATAAGGTAATGTGTGTCTTGTTTTGTACTGTACCCCACAACAAAGAAAGACTGTACCGAATCTACTTTCATTTTCGTAAACTGTTCGAAATTCGAATTTCGAAAATATGCTGTTTTTTGTTTACTTTATTCTCCTCCAGTTTCTTTTTGTTTTTTGGCTTTTATACCAAATGTTATTGTGTTTTCTTGTTCCTTATTACCTGTTTCGTTTGTTTCGTCCTCTTGTGTTCTATTTTTACTTATCCCGAAAGGAAAAAAATTAGCCTTCGGTATGAAATTGTTGGAACATAATGGGGGATCATATGTAGAGCATATTCACAGGCTCTATATTTATATAGAACGCCTAAAAATCTAATTTAGAAAAATTATAAAAATTGAGGTTAGATCTCACACCCTAACCTATAATGTTCTAACAATAGCATCCTTTACTTTCTTCTTTGAATTTCATTGTTTTTTTAGAAATGCTTCTGTTTTAGGTTTATAACAATGCTAAAAACACTAAAAAACATGGTGACTTTTTTTATTAAAAATACAAAAATCTTTCTATGATTTCTTTCATACACCTGTGACAATCACCACTCCAAGCCATATAACTTAACTACCAAAACAAAAAAACCTTCCATTTGTTTCTTTTTGTTCTCTTTTGAAAAATTTCTCTTTGTTGTAAAAAATAGTTTTCTATGGTTTTCATTATTGTTCCTTCAAATTTGTTTTTGTTCTCTTATACTTATGTGTGTTTGTCAGTTTTTGTTATATTTCCATTAAAAAAAAAGAGTTCATTTTTTAAAACAGGAAATATTCTTTGTAAATGTTTTCGTAAGCTTATTCTTTTTTCATCTCTTTAATAACATTTTTCTCTTAATGTGTGTGAGTGTTTCATACATCTTTGTATTATAGTTTTTTCTATTAGTAAATAATGGAAAAAATTGTCATATTTTTAAGAAAAAGGTGAAAGTCTATGATGTATAACAGTTTATAACAGTTCTAAAAATGTCTGTAGTTGTCTCTAATAATGTTTTTTCACATATAAATGTTGAAATTTTGACTTAGAGATGAAAATATGTGATGTATAACAGTTTTTGGGTATTATGTGATTTTAGGCATTTTGAAGTTCCAGGAGTGTTCTAATATATTAAATTGTGTAAAAAATTACTTGTATAACAGTTTATGACTGTATAACAGTTTATATTTTTAGAGTTTTTCGAGATTTTATGCAAGTTAAAGAACTGTAATAATATGATTAAAAATTTAGTCAATAATATTTTTCACTTTTCTCAGTTTTAATACCAATTTTATATTGGTATAACAGTTACAGTACCATCACAAGGGATGTTACATTTTCGAATTTTTACATTCTGGCATTCTTTAATAGCGACAGAGTGACAGTTTTTGGCTGAAATGTCTACACATTTGTCCTTGTTTTGTTTTAGGACTCTATATACCCTGCTGGTTTTTGTCCTGCGAGTTTGTAAATATTTTACTTGACGTCTGCCAGAAATTCGAAGCAGATGGGTTTCCTTCCGAATCGTGATTATCACAGTTTAGTTGTATTTCTTCTATAATGTTAGAATTCTGACTATAAGCTTTCAATTTCGGAAGATTAATATAAATCCTCTCAGTTTCCCCTACTTAATTTCTGAATGGCTACATAATTTCGCCATTCTTCCTTTGAAAGATTTCTCTTGTAGGCGTCGGGATGTATACTACAAGAGAAGATTTTCTAGAGATCTGTACAGATTGCTTTTTTAGAGAACTTTCTAGGTGTATATTCTCGTCTATATATCTCAGCATGTCTTCGATAGGAGGAATGTAATTTTTTTCAGATGATATTCTTCAAGATTTCCTATACAATTTATCGATCGTCGATCATCGGGAAGTCCATTTTTGATGGAGATCCGCAGGTTTTCTTTAGAAGATATACAAGGAGGGGCTCACTAATAATAAAAAACATTCAGAGGGTATTATTCCTAGTCTTCGAAAGTTTTCGTTTTTATAGACGGAAAATATTGGGGATGACCATTCGGGATATAGATTTTCTATGCATGATGGGTCCTCAAGAAGCTGATCATAGTTAGAGGTCATTAAATGAGTCTTCTGCTGCATGGATTGTTCTAGACCAAAAAAAGTTTCATAAATCGAGTCACCAGACCAACAGGTCTTCGATCACAGACGAGCATCTATAATTCGTCTAAGACCCTTCGCAGTCCTTTTATAGGTCCCATTAAAAGACTCATTTAATTTATCCTGCCCTCGTAAATATGCATGTTCCTACGATACGTTAGAAGGTATTTATCTCCTGAAATTAAAATTGTCACTATAGAAGAACTTCTATTAGTAGTCTATGGTCTTCAAGATATCTTTTATGGACAGTTCATTTCAATGCCAGACCAGAAATATATATTGACGAAGTTCTATTTAAATAGGCCTTTGGAATACAGTAGATGTTATGGAAGTATGTCAAAAGGTTCTCTGCAGCTATGAGAACTTTTAGGACTATTCTATAGCCTCTGTACAAATTTCTTCTACAGATAAAAGGCTCTGTAAAAAATCTTCTGTTGATAAATGGAATTGGGAATCATCTTTCTATAGACCAATTTCTAAAAAATCTGAATGACCCCTGGATGCCTTTTATGGACAGTTCTTCTATATATTACACACAAAAGAATAAACATTTCAAGGGAATCCTTCCACAGCTTGTCTGTTCATAGAAGATCTACAAATGGAATATCCGCTAAAAATCTTGTGTGTGTAGAGATCCTCTTCGGGGAATATATTCTGAATATAAAAAATATCCTTTAAAACTTCTATAGACTTTTCAGAAGTTTTTTTTTACTGGCCTCAAGGAGATATTTCAGAAAACACTCCCGTAAATTTGTCTAAATATTGTAGTCATATTCTGATGGAAGACCTTGAGTTTTCTATGGATACACTTTTTCTCAGAGGCCTATATTTCTTCAATGGTAGAATACCACCTAGACATTCTACAATGGTTCTTATCCTCAATTATTCAGATAAAAAGGAATCGGATAGGGAATTAGGTTATCTGTCTTCTTCCTCTCTGTCTTGTATATTATGTACAGCATATGTATATACCATATATACATTTTTGTATATAGAACAATTATATCATATATTTTTCGATTTTTTTTTTCGTTCGCCCTCTTGTTCCTTCCATGACCCACAAATTTCACATGTTTATTACTTTTTGCCCTCTTTTCCAATTCCAATGGTTTTCAATTCGAAATAAATGTGACAAAACAAAAAAAAATTAATTTTATTAAATAATTATAATAAAAAAATACAACAACAACAAATTTGCCAAACACCTGCCTAACAAAAACAAACTCAATTTTGCCCACCCACAAAAAAAAAACAGAGCAATAAAATGATAAAAGTCGATGTCAATAAATACGATGACGATGATCTTGATGATGACGACGAAGATGAAGACGACACGGAAGATGAGGATATTGAAATCACTGAAGATCTCGAAGAGTTGGCCAAACATTATGATTTAATGGAACAATTTAAAAGCTTGACGGCAAATAAATCCCGGCAACATGCTTCACATTTGGGACATTTGGCAGCGGAATTGGATCACCCGATGGAAGGTGGTGAAATGCAAACGACGAAGGATATTACAAAAGAGTTTACAATGCATCCTTATTACAGCAATACTTTACTAACAACAACCACACCACCATCATCGCCAACAACAACAATATTAAATACACCAACTATCACCATCAATTCCATCTTCATTAGCACGCCAAGAACAACAACAACTACTACTACCACAACAACAACATCTACTGACACTAATGAGTTGGAAAATTATAACAACAACAGCGTCTTTAATGGCAAAAAGGTGAAAATTTCATAATTTTTTTCCAAAAATAAAAAAAAAAAATATTTCACCCAAGTAAAAGAATTTTGAAAAAATTAAAAAAAATTGAACGCAACAAATTATCTCATAAGAATGGCACAGATTTTTTTGGCTTATTTAATGAATGTGTCCAGACCATATAGAAACGCATAAAAATGTTTTTTTGGAAAGCTATTTAAAAAAAAGAAAATTCAACCACCACTACCTTCTCTACCTAAAGACCAAATATTTTTGGAAATTTTCTTTATTTTTCCGTTTTTTTTTTTTTTGGCTCGATGCTCGTAATAACTATCGATATCGATAAATAAATAAACGTATCCAATGCAAAAAAGAGTACTACAACCAGAAATGAAAAGAAAAAGGCATGCCAGCGCATGTTTTTGTTTTGGACAAATTTTGAAATGAAAACGAAATAAATTTTTTATAATTATTTTTAGACTATTTTTTCGTATTTTTTTTATTTTTTTGTACGCCATTTTCAGATTTAATTTTAAATTACTAAAACTTTTATTTAAAAAATCGTAAATTTCAAAATGCTCTTTTTTACTCTGAAAATGGTGTAACAAATTTTTTTATTTCTTTTTTAAAACTTTACCAATTTTTTTTAACGATATTTTCTGTTTCTTATTTTATGTAAAATTTTGTTTTGCACTCTACACTCTTGTTAATAACTTCCGTTTTGTATATGTTTTTGTTGTTTGACTGATATTTGTGTAATCGATTTGAAATACTATTTAAAAATATGGGTATATGTGTTGGCTAATTTGTGCATGTTTTTCATTAATCCCCAAAAAAAATAAACACACCTCACCTATTTGTTTTTCTCTTTAAAACTTGGATTACTGTCCTCAGCACCATCACCACCACCCACCCACCAATAAACCAATATTCTTTCCCCCTCTCTTTCGCTCTCTACAAATAATCTAATTTTTTACAGTATTTTCAGCATCAATTGAATACAACTTTTTGATACTCTTTTTTATTAAGCATGATCTATTGGATTTGAAATATAACAACAAATACAAACAATTTTTAAATAATATTTCCCATTTCCATTTTATTTTCATTACAAAAAAATTTAGGGTGTTTATTATGATACCACCTTGGAGCCAGAAGACAATCAGGACTTAAGTTCCAGTAAAACGGTAATTTTATTCAAGTCAATAATTTATTTAGAAATATTTCTAATAATCTCTCTCTCTCTCTCCTCTCTCTCATATAGGCCTCTTCATCATCCACACCCTCTGAGGATTCCATATACTTTGCCTCTTCGACCAATCCTCCCACACAGACGACCACCCAATCATCACCATCATCACCCGTGCCAGCAGTTTCAACATCACCCGAAATACCCTCTACAACCTCGGCTGTTCCAGATTATATTGAACCTAGAATGGAAAATACCCCGCCCATGATTAAATCACGTCTACAAAAATTGGCCGTCACCTCAGGAAAATCCTTCAAATTTGCCATACCCGAAGATACATTCTACGATACGGAGGATATGACCAATTTACGTTTGGAATTAACCGATAAAGAGGGTCGTGAATTGAAATCGAATTCATGGTTGCAATTTAATGCGGAAACAAAGGAGGTTTATGGATTGTAAGTAATCCAAAAAGCTCCCAATTAGCACTTTAGGTCGTAGATTTAAAAATAATAATTTGCTAGGCCCACTTATAGGCGTAGATTTGTAAATAATAATTTGCTAGGCCCACTTTTAGGCATAGATTTTAAATAAAATGTCCTAGGCCCAGTTTTTAGGCATAGATTTATAAATAATATTTATATCCTTCACCACACTGTGGTACAGGGTATTATGTCTTTGTGCATATTTTTGTAACGGGCAAAAGGAAACGAGATGGTTACTTTAAAGAATATGCATAGAATCACTTTCTGAGTCGATTTACGCATGTCCGTCTGTCCATGTTAACTTGTAAACAAAGTGGAGGTCGCATTTATGATCCGATTTTAACGGAAGTTGGCATAGGTCACTTATTTGGCCCAAGGACGAACCCTATTGAAATTGGGAAAAATCGGTTCAGATTTAGATATAGCTCCCGTATATAGTTTCGTCCGATTTAAGGTAAATAGGGCACCAAAGTCCTTATATATCTTTCGATTGGCATGAAAATAGACATAGAGTTCTAAATTAGGTCCAGAATGATTTGTGCTATGTTTCGAGAAAATCGGTTCAGATTTAGATATAGCTCCCATATATAGTTTCGTCCGATTTTATGTAAATGGTGCACCAAAGTCCCTATATATCTTTCGATTTGTACGATATTTGGCACAGCGTACGGAATTAAGTCTAGAATGATGTGTGCTAAGTTTCGTAAAAATCGGTTCAGATTTAGATATAGCTCCCATATATGGTTTCGTCCGATTTTATGTAAAAGGTGTACCAAAGTCCTTATATATCTCTCGATTTGCACGAAATTTAGCACAGCGTACGGAATTAAGTCTAGAGTGATGTGTGCTAAGTTTCGTGAAAATCGGTTGAGATTTAGATATAGCTCCATATATAGTTTCGTCCGATTTTATGTAAATGGTGCACCAAAGTCCTTAAATATCTTTCGATTTGTACGAAATTTGGCACAGAGTACGGATTTAAGTCTAGAGTGATGTGTGTTAAGTTTCCTGAAAATCGGTTCAGATTTAGATATAGCTCACATATATAGTTTTGTCCGATTTTATGTAAATGGTGCACCAAAGTCGTACTGAATTCAGCCTAGAATGCTGTGTGAAAATCGGTTCAGATTTAGATATAGCACCCATATATATTTTCCTTCGATTTTATATAAAGTGTGCACTAAAAACCCAAAGTTTGTACGATTGGCATATAATTTTGTTGAAATCGATTCTGTTGAATCGATTTCTGTAATACTTTTGAGCGTAGATTTTGAAAGAATATTTTTTCTGGGCCTACTTTTAAGCATGGATTTATAAAGATTTTTTTCTTTGGAATGGTAGATTTTTAAGTATAATTTTCTGGGATTATTTTTAGGCTTAGATTTGTAAAGATGAATTTTCTGAGGAAACTTTTAGGCTATGATTTATAATGATTAATTTTCAAGGACTACTTTTAATATTATTTTTTTCTGAACATCTTTCCTATTTAATATTTTTTATTACTTCCTTTCCAGACCTTTGGATGACTCTGTCTCGAAATGGCTATATCGTCTTACGGCCACTGATTCCGGCAATGAATCGGTTGTGGAAACCTTTGAAATTTCAGTACAACAACATCGTGGTGTCAGGACTGTTAATCATGAAGTCAACATTGCTGTTAAGATTAATGAAAAGAATATGCACTACATTGATTGGCAAATGAAACTCATCAAAGGTAACTATTTTTCAAAATTAGCTCAAGGGACACCTATATTATGAAAAAAAAAACAAATCCTTGTTTCCCTTTTCAGCAATTGCAACAACTCTGGGTGATGAAAATACCAGTTCTATTGTAGTGCGTGAAATTCGTGCCAATCCCCAAGATCCATCCATCGCCACTTTGGTTTATTTCAATGAAACTCTGCCGACAAGTGAATGTCCTGAAGCCGAATTAAATAATTTAGTTAAACGTTTGGATGCTAATCGTTTAAGTGATTTGGTAAACCCTACCTTGGGTATTAAATCGATCACCGGACAATTGATTGGCCCTTGCCTAAAGTCAACAGCTAAACCAAAAACTCCAACAATCAACAAGAATTCACCACCAGTACCACGCAATCAAGTGGACCGTGTGGTGGCCACAGCTGGTCATTTATTGGTATACAAAGTACCCAGTGATACATTCTTTGATGATGGTAAAATTACTCTCAGCCTCAAAACGAAAGATCACAAAGAAATCAATCCCACACATTGGTTACAATTCGACTCGAAAAATGAAGAATTCTACGGTATACCCAAGGCAGGTGATGTTGGCTCTGAAGAATATATGCTCGAGGCTGAAGATACAGGTGGCCTTACTGCCACCGATGCTTTGGTTGTTCTCGTCAATCCCGCACCCAAGAAAGAATTCAGTGTCTATTACAAGGCCTTCTTGGGTGTTAAACATGAACATTTCCATGCCGATTTACAGCGTAAATTTGTTGAACGTATTGCTCAATTGTTTGGTGATGCCTCAGCACAAAATATTCAAATTCGTTCGGTGACACCGATACATGATACAGACAGTACAGCGATTAGTTTCTATAATACCACTTTGTATAAATCACATAATCGTTGCCCCGAAGAGGAAATGGAATATGTACGCAGTGTACTGCAACAAGATGGTGTGATGCGTGATCGTGTAAGGAAAGCAATGGGTTCCGAATTGAATATTACCAATTTGCAAATATATCCATTGGCATGTAATGGTAAGTAGTGGAGGAGGGTAGATTATAAAATAATTGAGATTTTTAATTATTTTTGAATATTGCAGAACAAACAAATGTCATCCATCGTGATTATGTGCCCACAAAGACCGATGAACCCTTGCTGAAGTCCACCTTCTCTGATGATTATTTGTATACGATTATCCTGCCAGCTATTATTATTGTAACAATGATTTTAATAGCATCAATTATTGCCTGCTGTCTGCATCGCAGAAGACGCAAGAGCGGTAAAATGGAATTGGGTAAGTTTTGAGAAAGGGAAGGCGTCAATAGATCCAGAAAAGGGGGATATTTCTGCAGCAATTCGGGGGGTTATTAATGACGTTCATTTGATCTGAGAAACAAAAAAATGTGAAGTTCCAAGTTGTAGGCGTGGTTTATAAAGAATATTTCTTCTGGAATAGTTTTGGGTGTAGGTTTATAAAGAAAACTTTTCAAAGACGACTTTTAGGCGTAGATATACATAGAATATTTTTCTATGATTACTTTAAGGAGTAGTTTTCTAAAATATATTTTTCTAGCACTAAAATTTCTAAACATAATTTTTCTAGGACTACTTTAAGGAGTAGATTTCTAGAAATAATTTATCTAGGACTTCTTCAAGGCGTAGATTTCTAAAAAAATATTTTCTAGGACTAAATAAATATTTTTTGGACTACTTTAAGGCCTAGATTTTTAAAAATAATATTTTCTATATTTCCACTTTATGGCGTAGTTTTCTAAAAATCATTTTTCTAGGACTACCTCAAGGCGCAGATTTCTAAAAATCAAGGCGTAGATTTTTATAAAAATATTTTATAGGACTACCTCAAGGCGTAGATTTTTTAAAAAATATTTTATAGGGCTACCTCAAGACGTAGATTTCTAAAAATCATTTTTTTAGGACTAACTGAAGGCGTAGGTTTCTAAAAATCATTTTTCTAGGACTACCTCAAGGCGCAGATTTCTAAAAATCAAGGCGTAGATTTTTATAAAAATATTTTATAGGACTACCTCAAGGCGTAGATTTTTTAAAAAATATTTTATAGGGCTACCTCAAGACGTATTTTTCTAGAAATCATTTTTCTAGGACTAACTCAAGGCGTAGATTTTTATAAACAAATTTTCAAGAACTAAAACAAGGTTTAAAAAAAATATATTTTCTAGTTAATGTAGTCCTAGGCGAAGATTTTTATAAAAATATTTTATAGGACTACCTCAAGGCGTAGATTTTTTAAAAAATATTTTATAGGACTAACTCAAGGCGTAGATTTCTAAAAATCATTTTTCTAGGACTAACTCAAGGCGTAGATTTCTAAAAATCATTTTTCTAGGACTAACTCAAAGCGTAGATTTCTAAAAATCATTTTTCTAGGACTAACTCAAAGCGTAGATTTCTAAAAATCATTTTTCTAGGACTAACTCAAGGAGTAGATTTCTAAAAATCATTTTTCTAGCACTAACTCAAGGCGTAGATTTCTAAAAATCATTTTCTAGGACTAACTCAAGGCGCAGATTTTTATAAACAAATTTTCAAGGACTACGACAAGGTTTTTAAAAAAAAAATATTTTCTAGGTAATGTAGTTCTAGGCGTAGATTGGAAAAAATGGATATGAAAATATAGAAATGAAATATCCAACAAATATCTAAAATCGGCAAAATTCATTAAAGGGGTGTTATGTCAAATCATGGACCTATATTTAAACATTTCTGTCAGAAGGTCCATTTGAAAAATACAACTGGAGCAGCTATCCCAAAACTTCGACAAAGTTATCTACGTATTCCCTCTGTCTTAAGATCGAACTCTACATTGGCACCTTAATATACATTAGAAAATGTCAGAATGTTATTCAGGTTTCAGAAAATAATAGCTTCGAATTGCACTAAGATAAGGGGGCAGAAGGTCCTTATTACTATTCAGTTTTATTGCCTAAATAAATTCATATTTGATCACTTTATCATTTGACTTACTCCAAATCTCTCTCTCTCTCTCCATTTTATTTCTAGGTGACGAAGAAGAACGCAAATCTTTCCGTACCAAAGGTATACCTGTTATATTCCAAGATGAGCTAGATGAGAAGCCTGAAATTGGTAATAAGAGTCCTATTATCTTAAAGAATGAAAAGCCGCCATTATTACCACCCTCCTATAATACCTCAAATATGAATGGTAAGTTAATTCTAATTGCCAATACCCCAACAAAACGCACCCCCTTCCCCCACTTTGCACGTAGTAGTAGTTGTTGTAAAAATCATTAAAGTAATCAAGTTTAATTTTAGGTGATAATGATTGTGATGAATATGTGCCACCGCCCGCAGTTGTGGTGGGTGGTCGCGAGGCTAGAGGGAAATCACCGGCAACACCATCATATCGTAAACCCCCACCATATGTATCACCATAAATGTGAAGTGTCCAAACTTTGAGCGAGAGAGCGAGAGGAGAAAGTCAAGGACAAACTCTTAAGGATAACAAATAATGATAATAATATTAAGAGAGAGAAGAAACCCGGCATGTCCTTTTGTTACAAAAACGACAGCAAAAAGAAAATCTAACATATAAGTAAACTATAAGAACACACCCTAAGAAATAAATAGGTAAACGAAAGAATGGATTGTCGAACCAACTATGCAAAATACATATATGTGTAATAGAAATTCTACAAAAAAACAATACAATACAAAACAAACCAACCAACCAGCAACAAAACAATAAAAAAAATACTTAATAATACTTCTTACTATACAAAAAAACAAAATCGATAAACCACACCATAACAAATATACAAAACTAAAAAACATTTGAATAATTTATACATATATATATATATGGAATTAAGTGTCAAAACAAAATCAGTTATATACATACATATGTGGTAATGAAAAAGTAATGAAATGATGCAAAACAAAACAAACCGGAACAATAATAACTTATTTAATATGAACCTTTGAAGAAATGAAAAAGGAAACGATAAAGTTAAGTTAAACGATATTTGATGCTAAAAAAATATGTGAAATCATTGAAACTAGCCAATGATGGAATAATACTTTGTACTATACTTACATTATAATATAAATACACACACACATACATACATATAATATAATATATTTATTATAAATATATATTTACTATTATTACTGACCATAATTGTAAACATAACGATGATGATGATAATGAGGAAATGTAAAACAAAGAAAAAAAAGAAAATAATTTTCCACAGATTCAAAGATACCACATAAGGAATCAATATTTTTGGTATTTATGAATTATTATTAATTGTGGAAGCCCAAGAGAACTACTTAACTTATTATTTTTTATTGATTTACAAAAATCTATTTTTGTATTAATTTTTTTAAACCCTTACAATTTACTGCTAATTAATTCCAAAGGGAAATTCAAATAATATTCATAGTGATTTCTATTCGTTTAAGTTAAAATTTGTTTGTATATACTCTTAGTGTGTAAGAATATTTCAATATATGTATTTAGTTCCCAATTTGCATAATTGAGGAATTTTTTTTAACACTGAAAAATTGATGAAGTTTACCATTTTACTTTGGAGGGAAATTTGATAGGAAGACACTATTTGAGAGTTCAAGATAAATAAGATAGACATCCATATGTATATGGTAAATAATATATCGTATATGGTAAATAATATATAATGATTCATATAACTTTGGAGGGCAATCTGATTGACAGGCAGACAGACTCTATACTCTACAGGATCTGAGAGTTCAAAATAAATAAGAGAGACTTCCATATATGAAGATGGTATATGGTTATTAATATATGGTGATTTATATAACAGAGTCACTGAACAACATTTAAACGACAATATATTCCTTTTGATTTACCGATCTTATGAAGATTTCACACAATTCATTTCAAGAAGAAGGAAATATCTACAATAGTCATGTAGCTTTGCAATATGTATAGGAAAGTTTATTTGATCATAAACAGTTTATTTCAAATAGCTAATAAAATTCAAGAAATGTGACAACGGGATGGTCGAAGTGTTGGAAATATATCTCCACGGCATCCTCCAGAATTGTGGCGATATTTGAGAATAAGAATTAAACTCAAAAATTAAAACCCATAGATTTTATAGCTGTTTTTCAGCTGTAAAGTCCATATTAGATACCCCTATTATTTCCTTTTGCGGTACATGGATCTACTGATACCTAGATAAGAGATTTTTTTAACAACTTGTGTCATGTCCAATGGACCCTTTTCCTCGTCACTTTTCAATTTGTACTAGAAATGGTGACGTCACTTCAAAAGTAATCAATAATGTTACCCAGAGGCTTGAAGTCGGCCCATATTTTGAATAATCCTCAGCGATTTGAGAGTGGTCTTACGTGGATGTTTTGGAATAGATTATCAACAAACCGGATATGAACTATTAACATACAGCCTCAATTGTCTTGACTTAAACATAGGTTTCGATATCATGAACATTTCTAATAGAAATATTGGCAACTGATCAATAAACTAAAGTTGGGGCAGGTCCCTTTGGACTTCGAATCACAGTAACTAAAAATTAAGGTTTTCCGACTTTGTTTTCGCCAGTATTGGTATCGATTGTGAGTTCCGAATCAGGGGTACTCAATTCAGTGAATGTGGAAGTAGACCATTGAAGTGTGTTCTCGGCGTTCGAATGTCGAGAGTTGTGCAATGAACTCTGGGCCAGGTCTCTTGGGAATTTGAGTCACAGAAACTCAGTAACTACTTTACGAAGAGTCGAGGTAATTTTACCGCCATTTTGAGCAAAGGATTTTCCGATTATATCATGGCAAGCAATTTTATCTAAGCAAATTCAGCACAGAAATAGACAATATTTGTGTCGATTTTAGAATATTCTCCTATAAATATAATAACTCCTATAAACCTGACAGAACTCCTATTTAAATATTGGACAACAATTTTGACGAAAATTCACAGATGTAATGTCCTATGAAAAAATCATTTTTGAAAATTCCATTTGTATTCCAAATTCTTGGACTAAGCCGGCAGTTCTTATTGATGTATAATGATACCACCTTAAAACGAATTTTAATTCTGAAGAAGGCTGAAACAATTACGGAGTAACTTAATAAAAAATTCATGACTTTCGATTAGTTTAAAATTGTGAAAAAATCGTCAGGTTCCATTTTTAAAATTTGTAAACATTTTTGTTAGGATTTATCCATGTTTTCCCATTATAATGAAGGATTGATTTTTTATTTTAATGAAATACCTGAAAAGATATTGAAGATTTTTTAAGAGCCAAGAAATATTTGTTTTGTTCTGAATTGAAAAAAATCTTAATTAAAAACAAATCTTGTTTTTATTTAATTCAAATAGATGCATCATTAATATTTCATTTAAATAATTGAAAAAATATTGAAGATATGTCCTCAAAAATAGTCCAAAAAATTGAGAGAAAATTTAGACATTTTCTGAGAAGTTCCTCCTAGAAACATTAAAAATATCACAGCACATATCCAATTTTTCTACTGAAGTTAATAGAAAGATAAGTGCATTTATAGTTTTTAGTAATAAACATATACTTAATCTCAAAATACATTAATCGATATTAAATGCATATAACATAATATTCCCCTATATAAAAGTATATATACAAACAAATTATCTTACCTATACTGCCTCTATGAATGTTATAAAAATTCCCCTTTTTGAATTTCCCGACCTAAATGGAATTATTTTTTTTACATTTTGCTTTTATACATAGACTGGAAGTATGTATTAAATTGTTTTACTTTCCTCAAACCACTTCTTCCCCAAACATACATTTTTACACCGATTTTTTAAACTAATTTTTCATTTAATTTAAATTGATCTTTAAATACAATTTTTTTTTTATAATTAAAAAAATATATGAATTAGAAAACACAACAAACTTAAGGTTAGAGAAGCGATAATGAAATCCAAAAAAAGTATATTGAGTTAAATTTTTTTTATAATAATACATATTATTATATAACATGTAAAAAAGTAAATTTACTATTATTATTAATTATAATGAATAACAAACAAATATTTTAATTTAAGATTGTTATAAGTTTTTTGGTTTAAAACAATGTGAATGAATGATGATGATGATGAATAACAAACCATTTTTTTATATAGAGAGATTGTGCAACACTGAAATCTTTTTCTAAAGAAAAAAAGAATGAAAAACCTTGTTTTATTATATTTTTTGTAAATGTATTAGTATTGAATAAGTCAGCTATAGAAACTTAATAGATTTTCCCAAAGTTTGTAATAAATAATCTCGATAATTCACAAAACAAATGAAAAAAAACAAACACACACCACCTGAATGAAATGGAATTATGTTTTTTTTTAAATGCATTTTACTTTTTTCTAATAAATCATATTGAAATTAATGAATGATGACAATGAGTAACCTAATTTGATATGAATATTGAAAAAGAAGAATATTGTGGATTTTGTTCCAATTTTATAAACTTCAAGACACCACTAAGACACCCTAATAGATCTTTGTACTAAAAATCTCAGAATTGAGGAGTTAACACCAATTAATTTGATGAGTTGTGTTTCGTTTGTCAAATACCTCTAAAAAGAGGTTTAATGGAAAATATTATCAATGCAATGAATCTAATTCTGCGTAGTATCAATATGAAAACTGAATGAAAGTGATTCCCAATATGTTTGCATATTTCAAATAACCAATAATTTTTTTAAACATACAGCTGGGAAATATAAAAGTAATTAAACCAATTAATATTTGTTTTGTACTTTAAAATCATATTAAAAATCCGCTCGGAAATTTCTAAGGTAGTTTCTGAGGAAATAATTTATTCGAAAGGGATTGTTAAAAATAATGATTGTAATTGGAATTATCCTGTTGTTAATCGGACATAATTTTTACCCTCAACCTTATGACACTTTGCTACGGCAAAAAAATCCTTTCGAAAATCGAAAAATCCTTTTCGATTTTCAAATGTCCGCCCGTCCATCTGTCTTTGTGCCTGGCTGGTTGCTGCATACGATAACTTTCGAAGAGAGTAACCGATTTCATCTAAACCTTGAACATCACAATATTTCTTCGCTGCACCTCTTCTGGTACCTTCCACACAAAAGGGGTCAATATTTTACATAAATTGAATAACTGATAAATTTTTTACTTCGTTGTTTATTTATTTTTTTTTTAAGAAATATATTTTTTTCATAGAACCCCTCATAAAGGAACAAATAATGAAACTTATTCATGTTCTCCTTTTATCAGAGAACAGCATACCTTCTCAATATCAGTTTTATTAGGGATCAATGTGTCATGACAGAGGTCTTCTGTGATTGAATGCAAAAGGATCCGCAAATGGAGTAAAAAGTTTTTATTTTTTAAATAATTTAAGTCAAAAAAGTATATATTCA